TCCAGGGCCTGCAGGTGCGGCTGGAACAGCACCGGCGCCACCCGGTCCTGCCGCAGGGACTCGGCCATCAGCAGGCTCAGCTTGTACTCCTCCTTGGCCAGCAGCTGCAGCCGCAGGTAGGTGGACTTCCGGATCCTGCGGGAGGGAGGGAGAAGGCGCAGCTGACGGGCCTCAGGTGGGGACAAGCCGAGGGCGAGTGACTCCCCGGCCCTCAGCGCCCTGCCTCTCAGAGGCACAACCAAGGGATGGGTGGTCCTGGGGGCCCCGCAGGCACCCATCACCCCAGGCAGACACTGGGGGAGGGGGACGGCCTGCTCACGGCGGACATAGGCCCCCACTTGGCTCAGCACGCTGGCTGAGCAGGGCGGAGGGCAGGTACCTGCAGCATTGTTGTAAAGGCACCAGAATGGAAAGCTCGTCATGGGAATATTTTCCAAACCTGCAGGAAGGAAAGCAGATTGTCCAGGGGTGGCCGCAGGAGCCCCGTGGGCAGAGCCTGCGGTCCAGGCAGCCACAGGGACAGGAGCCTGTGGTGAGCTGACGCAGCTCCTGGGGCAGCAGGTGCCTGCGTTCTGGGCAGCGAGTCTGCAAGGTCCTAGGCAGGCTGAGTGGACGGCGTGGGGGTCAGCCGGGTCCGCACAGCAGCACCTCTTACAGCTGGGAAAGCGTGACCCCCACCTGTGAACCTCCAGGTGCCCAAAGCTGACTTCCGAGGCATCAGGCACACGCAGCCCTAACCATCTGAAATGGGGGTCCCCCCATGCACACCCCCTTCCCCGTGCACCAGGGACACTGTCCCTCATGGCCCTGACCGGGAGAGCCGATGTCCCCGCCTGCTGCCCCAGATTCCTCCTTGCAGGGCAGACGCCCCTGCCTGCTCCTCACAGCCCTGCTCTTCTTGGCCAGCAATCTCTTTGGGCCTCAGTTTCGCCAGGACATGTGGATAGAGCAGAACCCAGCCCATTGAGAATTAGGTGAAATAAGGTCAGACACCCTCCTGCCCATGGGGCCCGCATCAGAGTGGACCTTGGGGATGGCCCTGTCCCTCCCGTCTGGGCGGGGCTCCAGGAGGCGGGCTGCGGCCAGGCTCACCCTCTCCCGTTGTCCAGGTGGATAATGAAGGTGTCGTTCCCAAACTTCTCAAACGTCTCGTAGTGATGGCGGTCCATGTTCCCTGCGGAGACACGCGACCCTGGTCATGGATGACGCCTGCGCGCGGCTTCGAGGCGGCTTCCTTCCCTCCCGACCCCGACCCCAAGCCCTCATCACGAGCGAAAGCAGGACTCGGGCCTCTTCAAACTGCGGCCGCAGCAGC